AAAAGTGGCACTCGGCAGTTTGAAGATAAAATGTTTCTAAACCTAAAATGTCAAGCTAGCGTTAAACACCACACGAGTCCTGCTAAACACTATATTAGAAAATTTCCACTTCAAATCTAAGATTTGGGAAACCAGAGACATGTTCAGATGATCAAATTGTTATTCCTGACTCAATGCTTGGTTCAAAAATAGTTTTTAATGGCAAAACGAACACCAAATGGCCAATTCCCCAATTTTATCAATCACCATAAACTAAGCACAATCAAAACTCAGTTAAAACAATTTAACACATCATACAATTCAACACAAAACAACAATCATGTTCAAGCACACTACATTGAACTAACATTGTCCAACTTGTAGCGCCCCAAATTCTAAAGTGTCACAGATTATTCAAAAACCAGTAAATTTCAAACTTTAACACAATGCAAAATGTATTTTCAAAAACCTTGACAATTAAATCTCAAGTTTGTTCTCTGTCATCTCATACATCTATCATGTTTCAACACCATTTGTAACATCATCTCCTCATATATAATATATTATACATTCTTCACCAATAATATCATTCATAACACACAAAACACAAACATGTATGGGGTAAACTACCAATGAAACAATCATAATAACAATATATAAACATATTAAATATCAACAATAAACCACCCCATACCCAACAATAATAACAAGATTCATAATCATTTAACATAACAACTTAATCATAATGAATTACTCAATTCTCGATCCTTGATCTTCAATCCTCGATCCTTAACCCTTGAACCTTGATGTCATCACTAACATCTCACACATAGACCATCGGTCTATCCATTCATTAGCGCCTAGGCTAACTACCTACTATAACCATTATTGCAATACCGCTATCAACATCGCATCATATGGAGCATCTCAAATACCATGATCATCATCATAGATACACCACCATCATGATTATCCAAGCCATGAACAACACCATGAGCATCACCGTACCATAACACTATTGGGGAAAGAATCAACCACACTCTTGTACCTTACCTCACTGACTGTAACTGCTCCTACAACCCAATTTGTAGATTCCCTATACAGATACGATCGAGTAGTCCCGCAATCCAACTAAGGAACATGTAATCCTGCCACACAAGGACAAGGAAAACACCTTCACTCCCACACAAGGAAGACTTAATACCCGAACAACCCTTCCAATGCACACAAGGCAAAAGGGAGCACCTATCCGCAGACAACACCAAGATTTACCAAGTACAACAAGTAGACTTATCCTTCACTCTCATGCTCATCAACCACATACTTAGGTACATCCCAACACTTAATCATGTTCCAATCTCAACCCCAAGTCAAACCTGACCCTAAACATATCCATTAATCTCATTATCTGATTATCATCACGTTCCATAGCTCCTTAGGCTTGATCCACTTCTATTCTTCATCAAAACACATTGTTTATAGTAAAAATACTTTGGGATAATCGATTATCATAAATGATAATCGATTATTCTCGAAACACACATATGTACACAAAATACACTGTGATAATGATTATCATTAATTCTAATCGATTATCTTAATGTTTCTACTTAGCAAATCACCAGAATTCATCACGCATGAAAGGATAATTGATTATTATCCCATATAATTAATTATTCTCGAAACGCACAGATAATCAATTATAACTAATGATAATCGATTATTGGCGAATAGAAACACATCCTGGATAGAATTCTAGTGTTCAAACATACATGCAACAAATCTAAATCACGAGGGAAACTCCCCCAAAACCTCATGCATGCATTCAAGCATCATATACCCTTATGAATAGACCTTAATACATACATTACATCACTTAAATCATTCAAAACCCATCATTATTAGAGTTGTCAAAATGGGTCACAACTCGCGAGTCAACCCGGTCCACCACGGGTTTGAGCCCGGTTGGGTTAGAAAAAATTGTATTTTTTTTATGCGGGTCAAATTTCAACCCGGCTCATGCGGGTTGAACTCGTGGTGGCCCGGGTTGACCCACCAACCCACCTACATAAATTTATTTTATTAAAATTTAATTTTAATTTTATAAAAAAATATTTATTATTTTTTTTTTGCGTGAAAAAGTTATTTAAGTTCCTTATTTTCAAAATTAATTAAACACTCATGTTGGGAGTGAAATTTGTTTAGATTTGTATTATAGAAAGTTTGTAATTTTTTTTATTTTAAAAAAATTGTAATTAAGTAAGCCAGTGAGTCAACCCGTTTACCCACCAACCCGTGGTGGGTCGAGCCGGGTTCAAAATTTTTCTGGCTCGCTAATAAATGAGCCAGGTTGGGTTGACTCACTATGTGACCAACCCGTAGTGGGTCGGGCCGGGTGGCCCGTTTTGACAGCTCTAATCATTATGCAGATTACAACCCAACCAAACCCAACATTCTGCATATGATTTCCATACAATCTATATAACATATATTTGCATGGTAAAACCCCCAATTATCATAACTTTGTTCCCCGTTAACTTCAAACCCTATTATGGGATAACCCATCAAAATCATACATACATTCACAGGGAAAACCTATCACAAATATTACATAAATCATATCCTCATGCATACACAAACCCTTACCCAACAATATCTACATATAATCATAATCATGTACATGTATCAAAATAATGATTATCAATCAAGATAATCAAGAATATATAACATACAACAAACAAGCAAACAAAGGTAAGCTTCCCTGTACCTTGGCCAATACTAGAACTTTATCTAACTTTAAAAACACCACAAATCCTCCCTTGCATTAAGGTTTTCTGCAAGTCTTCCTTTTTCTCCTAGAAAACGTCTTTTCTTTCCCTTTTCTCTCTCAATTTCATTTTTAGAATTAAGGTAACAATGTGCAAACCCTTTTCTCTCTTCTCCTTTTTATCTTTTTCTATGTTATCTGTATCTTTTTGGTTTTAATAAAATATTTCACTTTATCTCTAAAACCACTAAGATTTCCTCTCCTCTCTTAACTACTTTCTAAAATATTAATAACCACTAAATATCACAACTATTCACATAATCTTTCTATTTTTTTTCTGATTTTATTTTTATTCTTTTTCCTTTTACACCCCTTAACTTAATTTATGAACCACATTAAATAAAGGCAAAATGACCCTTTTACCCTTGGGCCTAAAATTCAATAAAACAAAAGTTTTCCTTAACTCTCTTTCTTTCTATAATTGAACCTACACCCATCCAATCCTAACCCATCCTTCTATAAACAAGCCAACACATCACATAGGTAATATTACACACACAAATAATCAAAATAACAACATACCAATAATGTGTTCCATTTAATCAACAATAACATTAGTTAATTAACATTGAAATTATAATTCTAAAAAGAAACGCTTAAATGTTAAACATCAATTACCAACCAATACTACTCAAGTCTCAAAATCATTTCATTCCCTAATTACTACATTTTCCTCGGGCCTTACACAACTTACGCACTAAAGCATCTAACTTCCCTTACTTCACTGATGGCCAACAAACACTAGCAGTCCTAAGACAACTCGACAAGCATAGAAAACCTTATTTGCTCCTACGAACAACATAGACATGATCAAGAAACACTATTAGAACCACTGGTTAGCAAAAAGTCTTATAGAAAACTCAAAAGTCATATACAAGCTCAGATAGCTCACATGCATGGAAAAATGTACAATTTGAAGAAAAGAGAAAAAATAAACTTACTCTTTTACATAAACGAATGGGTTGAAGTAGAAGACCTTGTTTCAAGGATCACTCATACGATCTATGTTCTTTAGGCAATGGACTGAGAATCATAAATCTTAGAGAAAGGGTGGACAACTCTAATAACATAAATCTAGAGAGATGGTATGGTTTTAGATAATGAAACTAATTTATAAAATTTTTATTTATACTTTAAACTTTTTATCATTGAAATAATCAAGTCTCATTATTTAAAACACTCTTTTACATCTAAGACTCTGCTTTTTAGGCTCTTATACTAATCAACGTGCACAACTAAGAATGACAAAAATATTCATGCCTACGAATATCTGTAGATAAAATTTTTGATGAATAGTTGGTACCTGTTCATATTTATTACAGAATAGATCAATACTTCTTTTGATATTTTTTTTTAAATATTCATTACCCCTCTTTTTATTTTTAAGAATAATAATTGTGAAATAAAACCCCAAAATTTTACTTGTTTCTAAAGTAATTTTCATCAACTGGCGCTACTTAAATGTAAACCTTTAAGGGGAATTTATCCACTTGCTTCCGGCTCTAAAAAAAAATATTTAGAATATTTTTTCCTAGTATCTAAAAAATCTTATTTTTTTAAGATGAAGAAATAAAGAAGTCATGGGTAACAGGTAGCTTAATATCTATTTCTTTTATCAATTTTACGAGCCATGTGTTTACGTATTTTTAAATGTAAGAGAATTATTTAAATTTTAAAAATAATAATTAAAAGATAAAACTAGAAAAAAATGTTTATATGATTATAGATAAAATAAATTTTAATTATCAAAATAAAAATATTATGAGTTGTATTGTATAAATAATTTTTTATTATAATTAGTTATTTAAATTTGAAAAGTTGTAATTAAAATGATAAAAAATAAATAATTTTTTTATAATGAATAATTATTTAAATTAAAAAAGTAGTTACTAAAATATAAAACTGAAATATAGTTTTTCTATGAATTATTATTTAAAGTTAAAAAATAGTAATTATAAAGATAGAATTGGAAAAATATAATTTTGTATCTAATTTTTTACATATTTAATAATAGTTAAAATAATTATTTTTTATTTTTATAATAATAAAATGAAAAGGGACACACGGAGGAGCGTACGTGCTTCCATAGTATATATAATAATAATAAAAAATTCCAATTTTTGATAGTTATTGTGATTATATAATCCAAGCCCTTCAAATTTTTCACATTCAATATGAACTAGACCAGCCCTAATTCGTCACAAAAGGCGGGAAAAGCAAAATTAAAATTAAATTTGAGGTGTTGCTTAGGACTGTGATTGCAATGGAGAAGATTCACGTCAGCGTCCGTGCAAAGCCTCTCTCTCAAGATGATGCGAAAACAAGTCTCTGGAGAATCTCCGGCAACTCCATCGCCATTCCCAACCTGTCCAAATTTGATTTTGGTACTCTTATCTTGCTTTCTCTTCACTTTCTTCTTCTTGCAAATCTCGTTCTCAACCCAGTTCATGTTTCGCAGACCAAATATTCAGCGGTAGTTGTGCGACCGCGGAAGTCTACGAAGCTCGCACCAAGGATATTGTGGAGGCCGCAGTTCGGGGATTCAACGGTTTGCAGCATGCTTTGCTATTTGCTTTCTTCTTCATTTTGCTGTTGGTAAATTAGTTGGATTGAATAACTTAGGGTTTGTGATGTTAATCGTAGGCACTGTCTTCGCTTACGGGCAAACGAACAGTGGGAAGACTTACACGATGCGAGGCTCGAAAGCTGAACCTGGAGTCATTCCTCTCTCTGTTAACGATTTGTTTCGAATCATTCAACAAGTAACCACTCCTTACTTTCATTTTTTTGTGTGACAAAACCAGTAACAAGAGTTGAAAAGTGACACAAAGCCATTGAAATTGAATTCTAATTGATATAAACAATGTTTGGATACAGTTCTTTATACAATTCAAGCTAGAAGAGCTTTTGGGGCTTCTGTGTTCCGAGCAAACTCTTAAGTTAAACCGGACAGCTTCATAAAAGTTAAGTGCAGAAGTTCAATTCACTTATTTTTGTCTGTCTTGTATAGATGTAGATATTTATGTAGAGGTTTATTTAAACTGGGCCGAAAAGATAGAACTTTAGACCTTAGTGACTCTGCTATTATATTATATTATGTTACATGTGTGTTTATATATTATGAGATAGATATACAACAGTGACAAAGGCATAATCCCAAAACCCCAAAGGAAGAGAGGGATGATGTAACAAAGTAAGGCCTAATTCAACAATATATATGCCTATGTTTCCGTTCAATGACTCCGTTTTGGTGATGATTATGAGGACATATGAGTCTATGAACAATGCCATGATGAGCTAAACATTGCATGAAAGGACGAAACTCACCACCCCAATCAGATTGAACATTTTTAATTTTAGAATTCAACTGCAACTCAACCATTGTTTTGAAAGTTTGAAAAACTGACAATGTTGCATTCTTCATCAACAAAAGAAACATAATATTTGTATCCTGCATGAGAAGTAATATGTGAAGCGCCCCAAAAATCAGTAAAGATAAGTTCCAAAGGAGAATAGACAAGCAAAATCATGAGAAGGTTACCTATGAGATTTTCTAGCACAAGATTTACAGAAACTGGAATCAACTTTATTATATTAAGGAAGATTACATTGTTTGAATACAAGGTTCATAACATGACTGCTACGGTGGCCTAATCTGGTATGCCACAAACGAAAACTAGTTCTGTCAAACACAGACTTATTATCAATATTTATTGCAAAGGAAACAGGAGCTAGAAGAGCAGGGAACAGAGGAGAGCACAACAATGAAGATGAGTGAGGGAAAAGATGAACATTAGTGAATGAGTAGAATCCATCAGGTCCTACAACTCCATGAAGAAGGACTTTTTTCGTTCCCTGAAATTTAACAAGACATTTATCAGAGTGAAACTCAGAAACATAATTATCCCTTGCAAACTGGCTAACACTTAAGAGGTTTTTGGTAATGGAAGGAACATGCAACAAATGATTTTAGCGAAACAGAACTCGAGAATAAAAAAGGTGAGACAAATGAAGATGAGCCAACACCAGAAATAGTCAAACCTGCACTATTGCCATGAAATTTTGATCTGGTCCATCAAACTGTTGCATTTGTTTAATGTTTAGAGGCTCACTAGTAACGTGGAAACTGGCACCAGAATCTGGTATCCAGGAAGTATTGTCAGTACCTTGAGAAACAATTTTCATCATCATAGCACTAGGACCAGCAGTGGCAGTGGATTTAGTATTTGGATTTGTCCATGTGTTGGAAGTCTTGTAGGAACCAACTGAGTAAGGAATGGACTGTTGAGTGACTGGATCAATAAAAAACAAAGGTTCATGTGGCTGGAATGAAATGTCAGATCGGAAGTGACAAACATTGGCTGTATGGGCAAATTTTAAACAGATTTGGCACTGAAAATTGGCAAACTTGCGACCACAACCACGAGCAGAACTTCCTCCTCCACGAGAGGAGCCATGAAAACCACCTCGCTGATTGCCCCCACGGGAATAAGTGCTTTGAGTGTATTTCGGAGAAGGCGTGACTAAGGACTGTGTCTCTTGAACATATGGAGTCAATCTGGTTTCATGACCATACAACAACGCTTCAATTCTGCTATAGAAGGAGCACACTTTTTACTTTCAATAATAGACACAACTGGCGCATAATCAGAAGGAAGACCTTCTAAAATAGCGTCACATGCTCTTCATGTTGAACAGGAACACCTACGTCAACAAGCTCATCAAGTAACTCTTATTCTTTAGCAAATAATCCTCCATTGTTTTGGAATCAAGTTTAACAGCTCTCGTGGCAGTGCGAAGCTGTTTGGTGCAAGACTTGGTCTGGAGGCTAAAGTACTCATGAATCTTCTCCCAGACTTCATACGAATGAGTACAACCAAGCACCCTGGATAAAACAAACTTAGAGAGAGTAGATTGAAGCCACACAAGGAGAGTTTGATCCTAAACCTCCCAAGTTTCATGGTCAGGATTCACAATACCAGCCAGACGGTCATTTTCAGTGAGATAACAAGCAGGAACAACAAGATTAGCCACAAGCGTTTGTGGCTTAATTACTGGTTCAACATATTGTCTCCAATGCAAGAAATTCGAATCCTCCAATTTCTCAGCTATCAAAGTAGGAAACGAAGGTGAAGCCATATAAGTGATCGCATTAATCAACAGAATCAGTAAAAGATGTAGAGGCAATTAGAAATTCAAGCGTAAGCCAATTACACCAAAACGAAAGCAATTACTGGTAGAAAACGAGATTTGAGACAGTGCAGGACGTGAACTGTGATACGCCGAGAGCAAAAATATACCAGATCGGAGAAAATAAACCAATGAAACAGAATTTTCACCGAAGCGAAACAAACAACCGATTAAACCGTTCGAAAAGAGAAGACGAACGCGAGAGATGCAAAACGAAGACGAATCCACCAATTAAACTGGTCGCAATGTCGAACGCGAACAACTACGACCAAACCGAGATGAGTGACGAACGCGAACGACGAATCAGAACGCACGTAAGCTTCGAACGAGAGACGCACTTGACAAATGCGGAAGAGCGACGAACCAACCGACAAACATCAAACAATCAGAGAGGAAGCCTGGATCGATGAAAAAGAAGCTCTAGATACTATCTTAGAGAAATTGAACGAGAGAATGGAGAGTATGAACAATGATAGAAACTGGTTATTACTTTCTGAACAACTTGAAGTATGTACAATATAGGTATTTATAAGAGTCATGTTTCTGTTTATACTAACAAAATCTTACAGCTGTACATATAAAGGAAAGAAAATAATATCACTGCTGTACAAACAATCTGACTTAATACAGGTCGACTATTGTATGCTAACAGTCACACAGTCAAAACTTGTTGACTTAGAAGATTAGACACTGAAAATATAAAATTCACCGAAAAAAAGGTTCTTAAATTTCTTGATTTGTTAGATAATAAACATTTTATTAGATTTCTAATCACATTCACACACACACATATATATATATATACACACACACGTACACAAAGTTGTGTCCCGTGTTCTACATTATACACACACACACAAACAAATATTTTTTGGTATAGAAGTTGCCCAAACAAAGAAAGGAGTTGTAATCTCTAAAAGCTAAAATGCTTTGGATATCCTAAAAGAAATAGGTATGAGTGATTGACCACTGGATTGTCCCATGGATCGAAATCAGAAACTAATGGTAGAAGAAGGAGAAGTATTCTTTGATCCGAAAGATATAGAAGATTAGTTGGAAAACTTATTTATCTCATTATTACTAGACCGGATTTGTCTTTCGCAGTTGATGTTGTTAGTCAATTAATGCAAAATCCTTGTATTGATCACTAGAATGCTGCCACCTATAGTCTAAGATATCTCCAAAAGGCTCCAGGGCAGTGATTACTTTATGAAGATAAAGTGAATACCCAAATCTTTGGATAATGTGAAGTTGATTAGGCTGATTCTCCTATGGATGGATGCTCCATTATAGGGTATTATGATTTGCTTGGAGGAAATATTATCTCTTGGAAAGCAAGAAACAAATTTTGTTGCCTAATTACCCACAAAGTTGAGTATAGAGCAATAACATCCGTCACCTGGGAGCTTATATGGGTAAAATAGTTTCTCCAAGAATTAGATTTAGCCAATGAAGATGTATTGTGATAACCAAGTTGCTCTCCGTGTTGCTTCCTGTTAGATGTAACAGGCTTAGGCCCATCTCTTTATATTTTTATATTTATAAATGCATAACCCTATGTGCTCAATACACATTGGGGATTATATTCAATGTCTCTCTTTTATTTCAACACTTCCAATTCAATGTTCCATGAGAAGATTAAACACATTGAAATTGTTTGTCATTTATTTGAGAAAAGTTGATGTCCAAGGAAATTTGCCTTGAGTTTGTTGGATCAAATGATGAACCTATAGATGAATTAACAAACTTCTTGAGAAGATCTTGAATTTATTTGTTCCAAGCATGATACATACAATTTGTATGCTAACTTGAGGAGAGTGTTAGAATAAATAGTCTTAAATTGAATTTATTGTAAAGGTGTTTGTTGCTTTGTGTTGTACCTAGTTACTGGATATATCTTTTGAGATACTCTTTTCTTCTCTCTCATTCATTGTATATGATGTATCCAAAGTTATTATAAATATGAGATCCCAAGATAGGAAAATTTACTCAAATTTATTACCTATTCTTTTATATTTCTCAAGTAAATTTATTACAATAAGATTCAAAATATTAGGTTTTGGTTATCAATAGAGACAATTGTACTATTGTGGACTACAGTAACTCATACACCAACAATTTTGACAACATTGTTAACTTTTATTATTTTTTCACGATCTCTTTTTGATATTGATCTCATAGTTCTTGGAATACTGTTTCTTAATACTTATTTTAGGACGTGGATCGAGAATTTCTTCTTAGAATGTCATACATGGAGATTTACAATGAAGAGATAAATGATTTATTGGCCCCTGAACATCGAAAACTGCAGATTCATGAAAATCTAGAGGTTGATTACATATATTTTGCAAGCTTGTCCATATCTGGTCACTGGTGTTATATATGTATTCATTAATATTTATATAGTTTCTCTTTGAAATCACAGCGTGGGATATATGTTGCGGGGTTGCGAGAAGAAATTGTTGCCTCTCCTCAACAAGTCCTTAATCTCATGGAGTTTGGAGAATGTAATTTATCTGTTGCATTTTACTTATGTTTTTGCATTTTAGCTCTCCATTTTTTTGTAGCTTAAATTTTCATTCAAATATATTTGAACTTATACTGCTATTGAAATGGAAGAGAACGGCAATTTCAACTTGATTTCTTTGGTTCCTTTGTTGGGTAGAATTTTTGTGTGATTCTGCATGCTTTGGGTTAACTTTGCAGTATGCTATATTTGTGAAGTATCTATCTTTTAGACATGCTTTATCTCCCTCTAGCAAACACCATATTTATACCAACTGTACTTTTTAGTATATCTTTTGCTACCTGTAATGGTTGACTAACATTTTCTTATGTTATTTGCAATTGTATCAGCTCATAGACATATTGGAGAGACAAATATGAATGTGTACAGTAGTAGGTCCCATACTATTTTCCGCATGGTAATAAGTGTTACTGGCGATGATAATTTATTTTTTCTCGTTTTATTAGGTGCTTCTAATTAGTATCTTGTGTTTAATAGATAATTGAGAGTAGGGATAGAAGCGAAGATGAAGAAAGTGGCAGCTCTTGTGATGCTGTCCGTGTATCAGTGTTGGTATGTTAATGTCACATTTTTAAGTAACACGTATTCTCTTAGGGGAAAAGTTTTTCCATTTTTTTATTGTTATTCACATGCATTTATCTTTTCTCTTTTTTCAAATGACTATTCTTGTGTAATTTTTCGTATTGGTAATAGTTATCTTCTTATTTCTAGAATTTAGTGGATCTTGCTGGGTCAGAGCGTGCTGCAAAAACTGGTGCTGAAGGTGTTCGACTAAAAGAAGGCTCTCACATAAACAAAAGCTTAATGACTTTGGGAACCGTGATTAAAAAGTTGAGTGAAGGTGCTGAAAGTCAAGGGTAAGTTTAAATGATTATATTTAGCTTTTTTATTTAAATTTTTGAATGAGGAAAGAAGAAAATATAATATCTTATGCAGGGGTCATGTTCCATATCGAGATAGTAAGCTGACTCGAATTTTGCAACCTTCTCTAGGAGGAAATGCTAAAACGGCTATAATATGTAATATCACGCTTGCGCAGGTAAGGTATTCCTTTGTTGACACTCTTAAATAAAATATCTGTGAGTTTAACGGCTACCACGTTTTACAATGAAATAATTGTTTGGAGCTACAATATTGCGAGGTGTTTTGTGTATCACTTGATTAATATCCATTTAATCTAAGAATTAAGTTTCCTAGCTATCACTTGTCAGACAGATCAATATCCTGTATTTTTTCTATGCACACCCTATGATCACATTTCATATTTTATGAAGGAGCATAAAAATTACCCTTTAATATTCTTTCATTTTAGTTGTTTTATAACATTTGTTATATGACAGATACATACAGATGAAACTAAAAGCAGCCTTCAATTCGCAAGTAGAGCATTGCGTGTCACAAATTGTGCTCAAGTGAATGAGGTTTCGTCTAATCCATTTCCCTTGTTTTTAGGGCTATTTTATTTTGATTTTTTTCTTTATTTTTTGTATTGCTTGCAATTTCAAAGTTGTTTT